TAGATATAAGCTTTGACATAACAAGAGATGATTGTTGCAAAAAAGATGTATTTAATAAAAGTTTACCATATTTAACGCCAATCTCTTTAAGCAAAGTTAACTTGGATTCCTTAAAATATGCAAATCATCAGCTAGATAGTTTAGAATTTGAATTAAATAATCTTCAAAAGGAATCACATTTTATAAAATACGGTTCATACTATTCCACATTTACTTATATTTTAATTGTATTACTATTTTTGTACTTAGCCTACAAATAATTTAAATGTTCCAGAAATCGACACAATAATAGTGGGCATTGTATACAAATATTTAATCAGTGTAATAATAAAAAGTCGTCGAAACATAATTCTAAAACTACAAATTCAATTGAGATGATTGATATGTCAACATCTGAAGAAGATAATAACTCACCCAAATCTTTACCAAATTGTACTAATTGTGAACCTTATAGAACTGTACACAAAGTTCACTCTTCCTCCGGAAGAAATCTTAATTTCTAATTTTATTCAATTTTAGTTTTCAAAAATATTTGTATTAAAACAAATAATTAATTTTATTATCATACAATTTCAATTTCTACTTTGTCATTTTATATTTTGTAATTGCTACATTTTACTATTTTTGATTCAATCTAATTGTAATAAGTATTTTTTAATTTTAAATGTGTATTGTTATTTAATTATATACAATGTTAAAATGAAAATTGTAATTGAAACTACTATTTTGTTTATTAAAAATCAATTTCTACTCGTAATTCTACTAATTCATTTAAAATACCTTTAATTCTAGATTCATTGTTCTATTTTATATTGATTATTTGTTAAATCTTACGCTGTTTCTTTTACGTAACTTAGTTACAACTTACTTTATCTTTATGTAAAATCGAATAGTTCGAAGTTTTATATTGTTATAAGATAAATTTTCTATGTTTTACTATAAATTTAATTTTCTATTTCTATATTTTGTAACGCCTTCCGACCTCTAAATATTTCTCTATTTCGAAACTTCGCTTTATCTTAATTTAGAAAAAGCTCAGTCAAAAGGGGGGAGCTGTTATATCCCTTTTTACAACGCAGTTAAATCTTAGTAAGCATTTATTCAATCCCACGGTACTTTTCCTATATATGACGTCAATCAGTAATTGCATTGTTCTTTTCCATATTAATTTTATTCCATTTTACAGTTAGTTAGATTCAGAGCCCCGGGTAGATCGGACATAGATTCCGATACGTATTAGAGTTCGGAAGTCAGGGTTAATATTAATTGTGTGTGTAAACTTTTTATAATAAACCCTTAGGTTTACCTTGTGGTTTTTTTTTTAAAAAGTCAAACGGGATCGGCCTCCTAACAGTTCGTTTCCTCGCCACAAAAACAGTTGCGCGGGTTGGTCGCGGCGGTCGATCTTCACGCGTAAATACATCTCGCGGATATCCGCGGACACGGCTATCTCGTTTTCCCTAAACCTAAACAGTATACCGGGTAGGTTCCGCAACAATTCGGGGCCGCCGAGTAGGTAATCGTTAAGGCATCTGCCTGATGCGCGAGCTGCCGCGTCGAACACCAATCTCATCTTCCCAGGATTGTTCGGGTTCCTCAGTGCGAACTGTGGCAGGTACTCTTGGGATCTTCCCTCTTCGTCCCATTGGCTTCACTAGCGTAGCTCTTCTCTAGGAGGTTATTCATTTGGATCGTATAGGCGTCCTGAAACTCCGGCGACTGGTCCATCTTCCATTCGATGGTTCGAAGTCTTCGAGCTGCCATCTCGTAACTGGGTGGCATCCTGACGTCGTCGTCCCTCCATGGCAGTCCGACCTGGTATTGCTCACCGACCCTCTTGACGGTACGCTGGAATATGTCGACAGCGCGTTCCTCTTCCCGTCGCGGTCTACTCTTAAGCGAGATGCCTATTCAATCTATTTCGTACCGCCTCTTGAGGAGGTGTTTCAACTCCTCGTCTGGACTGGCGAACGTCTGGATGTCCTTGTCTGACCATCCGCTGGTGCTCGACAGGTGTAAAACCGTCTCACTGTCTTGCCTACACAATACCCGCGGCGCCGTCCCTTGAAGCACCCGCCCTAATAATGTCCTAGCGGCGATAGGTTGCTTCTGGCGTCCTATCCTTAAATTACGCGTGATAGTCAGATACCAGTTGTCGGCTCCTATTAGCACCTTAGGCTTCGCGTCGTCATAATACACTACACTCGGCAAATCGCGTAAGTGTCTCAACCAAGCACTCCTTACGGACCGACTGCGAGCCTACCGTTAAATTAGTTATCGTTCGCGCGCTTACGTTATACATTTCGTTTCTCGTCTTGTCATGTATCCCTATATTAACTAGCCTACTTTTAGCCTCGCGTTGGCTATTAGTCACGCCTCTAATATTAAGCGGCTTCGTCGGTCCTTCTGCGCCTAACTCGCGAGCTAGTTCGTTGCCGATTAAAAATATGGTAGACCCTTCGTCGAGGAGAGCGTATGTCTCTATTTCCTTCGCGGTCCGCGCACGGTAATGGGGCACACCTTTAAAAGTACTGACGCACTACTAGTTACATTTGACGCGACGAGCACGGTTTCTTTTGGTTTGAAAGATGTCTCAGGCGTCCGGGCCTTGTGGGCGTGAAGGATCTCAAGGTGGGGGGCGCTGCAGCCGTCGACACCGCACGTCTTTGCCTTGCACCTCAGGCGTCGATGCTTGCTGCTTAAACACCTAAAGCACACCCCATCTTCCCTCAACCACTTCCACCGGTCATCCAAGTCCATCTGTACCAGTTTCCTACACTTGGCGATTTGGTTTTCACCGCCACAATACAAACACGGGACACTTCCGTTGTCCTCCTGGGTGGTGAACGTCCTTATGTCGCGGGGCCTATACTCTACGCGGCGTGTTACTACGATCTTTTTCGACAGCGGTGCTTCTCGTCTTACGGGTGATCCCATAGTCGGCGCTACGGAAGTACAGGCGTGACTCAAGGCACGGTCAGAACCTCTCATTATAAACCGGCACAGTGTGACGATATCCGGTTCGTCAACACTTGCGCAGTGCTCCGCATAATCGCACCAACGCGACCGTAAGTGAGGGCTACGCTTACTCGTGACCTCCCTAGTTAGCAACAGATTTTGTAAATATCCCTTGTTAATTGCGAACGCGTTTAATTCCTGGGCGGTTTGATCCGGGCGCGGAAGGCGTTTTAAATCTTCTAATGCACGATCTATAATCACTTCCGGGTGGCCGAAACACTGCTCCAGTGGCCGCATAATGCCTGCTGGATCCTTTGCGGCAAACAGCAGTGCTGATACTGCTTCCCTAGCCTCACCACGTAAGCAGTTCTTCAATCTAGCCATATTTTCCGTATCCGTGAATCCATATAGGCGCGTGGATTCTTTCATCGCGGCTTTATAAGCTATTCTACGACCGAGCCGTTAAAAATAGGCAAGTCTTGTGTCTGCTTCGCGTATGCTTTCTAATGCTTCCACTAGCCGTTCGACACCCCCTATCTTTCCCTCTCGGGGTAAGTGACCTCTATCTCTATCCCTATTACCCTCTAACGATACACGACTCTGGGATGTATCGCGATTATTCGGTGAGCGTGACCTACGTATACCTACATCGCGACGATACGGTGACGGTAATCTACGTTCCTCGTGGCGATGTGGCGATGCTGACCTATGCTTAGGCGATAGAGTGGGCGTTGAACGCGGGTTGGCGACGTAACCCTTACATGACGATCCACATGATTCAATTCTACGGCGACTCCATTATCCTTCTGTGTTGTAATTACGTAACGTGGCACAGTCTCCACGTTATCTAACCATTGATCGACACGGTTGCTATTTTAAACTAATTCGTCTTCATTTAAGCTTTCCCTATCAGTTTCTTCCTGTAACTGCGCGATGTTCCTGACGTATTTTTTCTTAATTAAATCTTCCTCGATTTGAAGTTGCTTCTTTCTAATCGCGGCGAGTTCTTCTGCGGTATTGTATTCTATTAGTTTTAACTTTGCTAGCTGTCGACTGGGCTGAACGGACTGACGGGACGCGCGGCGCGGGCCTATGTACAGCGTCGGTAGCTACGGGCGCGACGGTACGCACTGTCGAACTCGTTTCGGTGACCGGAAGATCTTCTATAATCGCGGCGAGTGTATCTGTACGCAGCGCGGATGTACTAGTCTCTCCTAAACGATCAGTCGTAGACATGGACATAGAGGGGCGCGGCGGCGCGAGCACGGGCGCGTGCATAGATGCGGGCGTCAGCGGGGGCACGGCGGAGGGCGCGTGTGTCAACGATAGATAGTCGGACGGGGAAGCGGGAGCTTCTTCAAAAATCCGCATTCCTACCGGCATTTCGTCGTCGTTCGTAGTCTTCTTGTTTTACGCGTGATGTCCTACATTGCGTTTTCCGATCGTCTTCAAAAAGACGCACGTATTGGTTGCCGTTCCCGCTACAAGTGGCGTTACCAGGAGATTACAGTTTGGCACCGTTAGGGAGTAATTACCTGGCCGCGTAAACGCGGTTAAGAAACAAGAAGTTTGTCGTATAGGCAATTAACGTAGACGTAGACGTGGTATCGTTAGAAACGTATATATAATTGATTAACCGACGATCTTCTTTCTTCGTCGATAATATTCTATAATAATCTTCTCTCTTCTGTATGGTCTTCTGTCTTCGGATTTTCCAGCTTTTGATCTTCTGGCTTCAATTTTCTAGATTCGGTCTTCTGGCTTCAATCTTCCAGCTTTGATCTTCTGGCTTCAATCCGGCGGCGATGTACCAAGAATTGTAAGGGACTGTATGTATTTTATGTTATTTATTTACTGCGTGTTAAGGTGAACTATACTAGGGACGTTTATGGAAGAAAAGATGGTACTCTTAACGATTATATGTTACACTATTTACAAAGAGCGGCAATAACAATTACTATTGTTTTTACAGGAGGGAGTCTTCTATGGAGTCTTGACTAGTTTTCTTGATTCTTCTTTCTTGAGTGCCGCTGTCAAATTGAATGACTCGGAGCCCAAAACGCCCTTCTTATATCCCCGTGGAGGGTGTCTCGGCACGAGCGTGTTCTTATGAGGTGTGCCGCACACTGTTTGGTTGGCGGCATCACGTGATGTCCAGGCGGTGTGTGGGGTATGCGGGGCGTAACGGGGTATGAAGGGGCGACGGGGCGGCGGCTCCCCTCGCCGTCCGTAACACATTCTTTGAAAATTATTAATGTTATAATAGATTTCGGTCTGATTTTGAGAATGCGAGTTGTCATCAGCTAGGAAAACTATTCCCGGTTCGTACGGTCTCGGCACGCTTCGCGCATAAGCTCGCGTGCGTGTGTATGTGTGTGAGTGGGCCAATCAAAAAAATTAAAACTAATTTTCTTGGTGTCTTATTTTTAGTAAAATTTTTGCAATGATTTTATAGATACAGGAAACAAAATTAACATACAAATTTCATCGTTAGTTTTTGTGAAGTTCTCTATATGTATATTCTTTCTATATGTATATTCGTTTTCTATATGTATATTTGTTCTTAGACTTCGTTCTGGGAATTAAATGTCTCATAAGCTTGTTTTTAATATAAAAACCGTTACTTTACTCGATTTCAATTTTTATCCATGAACTCGATATAAAGTACATTTGTTAACGAAATGTAAATGAGATCCGAGGCTTTGTTGAATACAAAGATTTGAAGATTTGATCTGTTTACGAATTAGACGCAAAGCGGGATTACATTTGAGGACCAGAACTGGAATAATGTCGTAGCTTGTAGTGTTGTCGCTTACGTGGTAGAGCCACGCGGCAGCTTTTGCTGTCGCACGGATGGGCCGGCTCGAACCGGGGTAGTACCACGACCTCACAGAAAACCAGCGTGAAGTAGAGGTTTACCTCTGCGTTTCGCTTGGTGAGTGCAGGTGGCCGGAGGCCCTTTTTACTGGAAATGAGGCATTCCATCTTAGTCCTCACGGGTGACAACGCATCTACATTTTGATTTGTAACAGAGGATAGATGTAGATGTCTATGGGCCGCAGCAGCCACTTACCATCAGGTGGACTGTGTGCTCGTTTGTCACCCTTATCTTATAAAAAAAAAAAAAAAAAACAGCCGATATAGCAAGTATAAGAAAATAAAAATGATCAAAAACGCTTTAATTACCTTATTATGTTTTGTGGCATTAGATGGTGCCTACATTCAGCAGTGAACTGATAAAGGACAGTAATTACAATGATGATGATGATGATTTTGATATCATGTTTTGTTATCAAACGCAACATGTGTGCACTAAAAATTTAAGTTTTAGTAAAACTGTTAAGCCACCTTACAAGAACTAATATAATTAAGTAATTTTCTATTCGTCATTGCTTAGACGTATGGTATAGAAGAACTAAAACCCCAACTTTAGAAGCTATTATATGTGAATCATTGTATTTCTTAAAATTTTGTGTAATATTAATTTAAATTAGCCCAGAAAAATTCATCATTTCTGTCCCTTCCATCCGTCACGTCCTAAACGACATAATTTGATATTGTTCTTACACTAAACGGATCGTTTTATAATAAATGAGATGGCCCTTACCCACGACTAACAATAAAATCAGATTTAAGATTGCTCTACATTAAATGTTATTAGCTAGAGTCAACAAGTTAAGTAAATTGCATGGTTTTGTCTTTATTTGAAATAATTAGATTCTTTACCAATAGTTAAAAAGATGTAGTTATTATTTTTAAGTCGTCGAGTTTTTAGAGCCTCAGAGCTTCTGAATATGCCCGCTATATTTTCACAGTACGCGAATAAACAGAGTACGATCCCCGCCGGCACCAATAAAATTGTTGATTGTAATTTTAATTGCTGATTTACCACGTTCTCGGCGGTGTAGGATAACGTCGTGAGGAAACCTCCACGTCTAAGAAATAAAATATTTCGAGAACATGTGAAGTCTGCTAACACGCATTGTTTCAGCGCGGCGGACTGATAGTTCCATAACCTTTTAAGAATTGAGAAGATGCCTGTGCCCAGCGTATAAAGGCTGCAACTTTACGTTACTTGAGATGCATAAATGCTCAAACAATTAAGATGTACACAATAAAACACAAATAAATAAATAAATAAATTGGTAATTTCGACGTAATTGCATCGCACCATGTCTCAAGCACAATCGTTAAATCGACAAAATAGGTGCAGCAAACATGTGCATACATAACTAAAATAAACCAGCACAATTTCAGTTCATGTCCGTAATGCAAATCGACGTAATCCACAGAAAACGGTTTAAACTCATGGAAATCTTATTACCGGTTACGGGGAAACGAAATCAGGGTCGTGCTTTGGAAGGAGGTCACGAGACGAATTCTACCATTAATATTCTGAAATGGCATAGTATTTTTGTTTCGAAATGAATTTAAGTGTAATTGAACAATTAAATAGTTCTAATAATACTTTTTTAGGCACAAATAAAAATGATTTACATGTTCCGATTGAGCCCTAGCTCCTGAACTAGGAGTCCTATAAATCAGAAACTTTTTCTTTCGATATTTAATTTCAATAACATATACTAATTTAAACCTTTAAAATTCAATTTAAAAAAAAACAGAGGCTGTATTATAGCCCCCATTTACTGATACCCAGGCATCTTAGTTTTGGTATAAAAACTTATCTGCATCTTGACTCATAATCGAAGACATGTGGATGTCTAAGGACCAATTTTATTACATTATTTATTATAAATCGTTACTAGCTTCCTAGGATTTACTTTTATATCGTGAAGGCGTTTCACATAAATTGCACTTGAATAGACAGCATAACATCAGACGCAATTATTTGTAGACCATACAAGTACTTGTTTCCTTTCGGGTTTGAAACCACTACCCCGTGCATCCGCAGCCAAACGATTAGCCACTGCGCTACCGAACCATGACATTCTGCTACTGGACTGGAAAGGATACGGTATTAACGTCAATGGCGAGTACATAACTCACCTTCGATTTGCCAGCGATATAGTCCTTATGACAGAATCATTGGAGAACCTAAGCACTATGCTTAGTGACCTCAATAGTGTATCCCAACGGATAGGTCTTAAGATGAACATGGACAAAACAAAAGTTATGTGTAACGTCCATGTCACACCTATGCCGGTAGTTGTCGGGAGCATTAAGCTCGAAGTTCTTGACAAGTATGTTTACCTGGGACAAATAGTCTGACTAGGTAAGTCCATCTTCAACCGAGAGGATTCAACTCGGCTGGGCAGAGACTATCTATAATCTACCTACCTATATCTATAATGCTACCTCGAAATATCAACAACCGCAAAAAGGATTTCGAAATAACATATCCGTCAGTGTTGTAACCCAGCCTGCCATATATTATTCCGGCCGGTTACGATCCCCGCGTGAATCACATGCGCGAATGCGAGTTATTGCTATTTCGCGGAAAAATACATTTATTTTTATTATATATGTATGAATGTAATAATTAAAATAAATGTTACTATTATTATACTATTATAATAAGAAACTCGTAAATTAATATTAATTGTAAACCAAAAGGCCAGGTCAAGAGTACCCTAAACCGTAGAGCATGTATGAAGGGAATAATGAAAGTAGACGAGGCAAAACAAGTATGTAAGGATCGTAGCAAGTGGAAAGAACTGGTCTCTGCCTACCCCTACGGGAAAGAGGCGTGATTATATGTATGTATGTATGTACCAATTGGTTGAAAACGGCCTATGGATTAACACGTGTGCAACATATACAATGAATATTGAAGTATTTCGTGCTTTATATATCTTTTTTATAGAGGGTAATTTTCTATTGCGGCTCATGAACACCTGCAACCAATCTATACAAATAAATAAAATTGAAGTGTCTGTTTGTAATGTCAAAATACCAGTTTTTTACTAAATGCATATGAAAGTATATACGGTACTTATAACAAAAACACAATTTTTAAAATTTTTGTCTGTCTGTCCGTTTGTCTGTCTGTATGTCTGTTTGTTCCGGCTAATCTCCGAAACGGCTGGACCGATTTCGACGGGACTTTCACTGGCAGATAGCTGATGTTATAAGGAGTTACTTAGGCTACTTATATTTTAGAAAGAGATAATTAGCGCAACATAATTAAAACCCTAAATCACACGCGGGCGAAGTCGCGGAGAACAGCTAGTTTCAAATAAAGAAGGCTAAAGTAACGTTGTCACCTCTAAGTACTACGATGGAATATCTCATTCACTGTAATTATACTGACTCACATAATGATTTCTTATATTTACGCGAAGACTACACATTAAATGAAACTCATTTTTACGGATTCTATCGCGTTTCATTTAACTTTTTAATTTTTTGACGTCTCGATGTCATAGTTAGCTCGGCTACTTTCAGTTTATGAATATTAATTTTTGTTCCGATCTACGCAGAATGAGCTTACAGTATCTAGATGCGTAGATCGGACTTAAAATTTATATTCAAAACCTGAAGGCAGCCGGGCTAACTATGACATTGGGACTCAAACACCTCAGTCCCCCCGTGACAATGGGTGCTGTAAAGCACCCGAAACGTCGGAAATTAAAAAAGTTAAATGCGAAAGAATCCGTAAAAATTTATTTCTTTTCTGTTTCTTTCATTTAATATACTGACTCTCTAAACACCCTTCAAGACAGAACCCAACAGTGCATGCGCTTTAATTTGGAGCGGCATAAGACGAACTCGCTGGCAGAAAAAGATTACTTCCACCTCGTAACATATCAAAAGTATGTCAATTATTACAGTTAGATGTACATTTTAAGTTCACTTACAAATTTTAAGGAGAGTTAATATACACATAAAAGGTTGGGGAAAAAGTTTCTTCGTATTTTGTTTGTATAAAATTGAAGAAAAATCTCTTTGGTTGTACTGTTTTCATCTGGCTGGTTTTAATATCAATACATTTAAGACACTAATAAAAAGAAAAATAAAGAGTAAAAAATACTTTCCTGCCACTTTTCAATTGTTTTTCCGTCCGCCAAAATGAGTGAACCTAATTAAAATTATTTGAATAATTACTATTTAAGCTCTACAGGTACGATGCGCACTAATGTACTCAACCTCCACCGCCAACCAGCTAGCCCATACACTGGCCGGTAGCGTGAACTCTAACGGCGGCTCTACACGTTGGCCAACATACTGGCGAATGTGTTGGCCAACAACGATGGCCAGTAGAGCGGGTGTTTAAGCTACGTTGATATGTATTGGAACGATGGCCCACAAGTTGGCGCGCGATCCGTGTGGTGTCGGTTTTTGCAAAAGATCAAAGGGTTGTGGCAGAGTATTGGCCGTCGCGTCCACACGTTGGGCGCACGTTCAGTTTGCTATGAGCTCCCAGAGTGATCGCACGCACCTGATTTAAATTTTATATGCACGCATCGTAACTAATGTCTACGTAATGGCAGTAACAATGACCAATGGAAAAACTTTTCGCTTTATAGAACCCCACCAAACCGAAAATTGTTTGTGAAACACAAGTCTTTCAAGACTTTTTTTTTATAGAATAAGTGTGACAAACGAGCACGCAGTCCACCTGAAGATAAGTGGTTGCTGTGGCCCATAGACATCTACATCTATCTTCGTTTGCGAATTAAAATGCAGATGCGTTGTCAGCCGTGAGGACTAAGATAGAATGCCTCTTTTTCCAGTAAAATGGGTCTCCGGTTTTCTACACTCACCATACGAAACAAAGCAGCATTAAACTGCTATTTTACGCTGGTCTTCTGTGAGAGCGTGGTCCTTCCTCGGTCGAGCCGACCCATTCGTGCTACAACTATACTATTAATATAGCTGCAGCATGGCTCTACCACGTATGAAATCTTCTTTTAAAAAAACGTTACCCCCACATTAGGATTTTCTCCTGTATCGTGGAGGCAGTTTACAAAAATAAATTGCATAAGAACAAACATCCAGACCCGGAGCAATTATTTGCAGGCCATTTAAATACTTGTTCCGTGCGGGATTCGAACCCGCGGCCCCCAGCGCAGCGCAGCTAAGGTACTTTGCCACGGAGCCGTCAAGAAATAAAATTTCTTTTTTTCCATTTCTTTTTGATCACCCTTTTCTTATACACATTCACGTTATAGTGGTATGCTGTTAATAAATAAACCGCAGCAGCCGTTAGCGAATCAATAATGATTTTAATAAATTCGTCCGCACATTGGCCTGAATCAAAGCAAACTGAACGACCTTTCAACGTGTAGACGCGATCACAAATTCTTGGCCAATAACTCTGCCAACACATTCGCCACTATATTGGCCAACGTGAAGAGCCGCCATAAGGCATATCTAAAAACTAGCCTAAAATTCTCGTTTTCCCGACGTTGCTAGCTCCCATACTATAACGAAGAAATTTGTTACATTCTGAAGTTTTATTACTATAATTGTTTAAAACAAGCTTTTATTTAAATGCGCTAAAAAGAATAAAATAAAATTTTCCTTTAAAACTTTTACTATCAACTTATAACGTCATTACACAATTTAAATTATATAAAAGTTTGTCGCGAGATTTAAGTTTCTACTCATTTCTACTTACTCGTATTTACTTAGTTTGAAAAGGAGACCTGATACGCTTTCATACATTCTTGGGCCCAGATTGTAAAAAGATGCAAGTGGTGTCAATTATTAGCTTACATATTATCTAAACATCACTGAAAATTCTGCGGACTTTGGCAATCCTAGATCAGAATTATAAGATATTTAGTAAAAGTGAGGTTATGCAACAAGTTGTCAAAAACCTATCTAAGCAGCTGATTTTTGAAGTGCGTTTGTTATTTTAGAAGGATCGTGAGCCTAATGTATTACAGCGACTATTCGCTATTCTACACAGCGATCCATTGAGTCACTATCTAATTAATAAAATCCAGGCCTTACAATCCACAATTACGAGCCAAAGTCAAACGAGTAAACTAGATTATCGGTATTCGGTATGTCGGTATCTTACTTAATTTCTACGACCCTTGCTAGGGTCGTAGAAATTAAGTAAGATCAGAAGTCCGTACTGCGTAGAAAGAAAGGAGTGGTCGAGCAATATAAATCTATAAAACAACGGGAAATACTTAAAACACACACATACTAAACGATACGAGACGAGTGATCGTAAATTGAGTTAAGTCAAGCATGAGCTATCACTATCTACACAGATTAAAAATACAGTTGACAAACACAAGTAATATATCGAACTGTAAATGTGGATCGATTTTAAGATTTATTTTTATTATGTTGATATTTTATTTTTTAAGCTGTTGACACTATGTTAATATACTGTAATTGTTCATCAATGAAACGATTCAATCAAAGTAAATAGCTACTATTTACTTTGATTGAATCAATCATCTAATGTAAGTTGTTTTTATGTTTACCCGTTAAAACTCATTCACATTAATTGATTAAAGTAATCGATTTCCTATTTTATTCGTTAAATAAATTTATTTTGAAGATTTCTCGTCTTCCAGTTTGTGAATTGCACAAACATTTTTATATTTTGAAATAGAAAAATATAACGCTTTTTTTAAACCATACTTCAACTTATTACAATTGGGCCCAGAAATCGCCGTCTCCTTTTAAAAATTAATATCTATCAGATCCTGTTTATCTACACAGGTAAATCCCATGACAAGCTTTTATATCATATAAATTGTGTAATGACGTTATAAGTCGACAGTAAAAGTTTTAAAGGAAAACTTTATTGTTTTAAAAGAGTTTTTTTACTTTTAATTTATTTTTTACTTTTTAGTTATCGCTGGACAGGTTTCTCAGTCTGATCATCTCATTCGACGCATCATTGTTGCAAGGTCGTTTGTCGCTTAGTTTCGAACAGTCTAGCTCTTCAATAAAGAGACCTTCTAATGGTTTTACCCTACTTAAGGCCATGTATGCACGACCAGCAGCGAAGAGCTTCGAACCTAAGTATACAACGGCATGGTCGACAGCAAGACCAACATAATATAATTGGCAGCATGCTTCGTTCTGCAATGCCGTGACTATATTTTGCTGGAAATTGTACAGTCTTGGGTTCAATGAGTAGAACACCGTCTTTGCCGAAGTATATACGGTCGGATGTCAGTATCATAAATTTGTGCTCTCTGGAAGCAGGGCCATATGGTTTCTGTAATATGTCCAATGGCACTATTCACCAGAACTTTGGACAGTCAAAGTTTACCAACCAATGCTACAGACTCGAGCAATTCGATCTCAATATCATATTCGAGGACTCGAAAAACCCCAGTACACCAACATTTCAGACGGATTGACATCATGTTACACCCTGATGCTACTCAGTCCTCGGCACGGCCTCACCTTGACACGGGTATTTGGAGAAATGTACAACTTATTTAAGCTTGAAGCTTACTTGTGCCTTACAAAACACAGTTCCAGGTTTAGTTTTGGAGTTACCCTTCTAGACATGCTGCAAACCAAAGCTGTTGACGCCTATCTCGCCAAATTACACAAGTCAAAGTTAACCAACCGATGCTACAGACTCGAACTAATCGATCTCAATATCATTATCGAGGACTGCAAAAACCTCAGTTCACCAAAATTTCAGACGGATTGGAGCAACCGAGTTTATGATCACCATCTTATTTTTGGTTAACTCGCATTCGTATTCTCAGCAAGTCCTTTTATCATTATCATCATCATCATCATTACAGCCCTTCACAAGTCCACTGCTGAACATAGGCCTCCCCCAAAGAATGCCACAAAGCACGGTCCTGAGCCACCTGCATCCATCGACTTCCTGCATGTCTTACCAGGTCGTCACTCCATCTCGTGGGGGGACGCCCTACACTTCGCCTACCGGTACGAGGCTGCCACTCGAGAACCTTTCTTCCCCATCGGTTGTCGGTTCTTCGAGCTATATGGCCGGCCCACTGCCACTTCAGCTTACTAATCCGTTGGGCTATGTCGGTTACTCTGGTTCTACTGCGGATATCCTCATTCCTAAGTTTATCACGCAGAGAAACTCCGTGCATAACCCTCTCCATAGCTCGCTGAGCGACCTTGATATGATACCCATATTGTATGAAAGCATAAAAAACTTAGTCTGCCATCTTTTGAAGTCCCCCATATTGGATTTAGAGTGACATCACTTTATTTTTCAAGTTACACTAAGCAACCGCTTTCATTTGATACCCATATTAAAAATAACTGGTCCTCCATCTTGGGTGTTCCGCCATGTTGGATTTAGAATAACGTCACATAGCTTACCATGCATTGTCATCTAAATTTAATGTGTATACAAAATTTCAGCTCAATCGATTGAAGGTATGTGCTTCAAAATTTAGTTGCAAGATTCCATTCGATCAAAAATAGTTACATTGAAAGTTGAATAAAAGATTGTGAAAAGGGAAAATGCGACTCCAGCCGCGAAAAAAATTTGTGATGTTTATGAACGTAATGCAGTTTCAGTAAGAGTAGTAACAAAGTTGTTTCAAGCGTTTTCAGTCAGGGAATGATTTCAAGGGGGGTTTTCCCTCAGGTCGCCCTCATACAGTCGATGCTATTTTTGAAAAAGTGGAGCAAGATCGGCATATTAACGGCAGTAGTAACAACATAGCCGAAGAATTGAAGGTAGATCACAAAACAGTCTTGATCTATTTGAAAATGTCTGGCTATACAATAAAGCTCGATATATGGGTAACACACGAGCTCACTGAAAGAAACCTGATGAAACGTGTACTCATTTGAGGTTCTCCATCGAAACGTAATGAAACAGGACAATTTTTTGAAAAAAAATGATCACTGGTGATGAAAAGTGGATCACCTACGACAAGAACGAGTGAAAAAGATCATGGTCCAAGGTTAATCAAGCTCCACAGACTGTAGCGGAACCCGAATTAACACAATAAGGTGATGCTGTGTGTGTATGGTGGGATTGGAATGGTATCGTTTATCATAGTTTTTAATACCCGTCAAAACCATCGATTCGATCTCTACTGCCAACAAATAAAGAGACTCCAGCAAGAAATTGAGAAAAAACGGTCAGAATTGATCAACAGAAAAGGAGTGGTCTTTCATCATGATCACGCCAGACCACACACATCTTTGGCCACTCAGCAAAAATGATAGAGCTTGGTTATGTAGCGTGGTAATGCATCCGCCATGTAGTCCTAACCTTGCGTCCTCAGATTTTCACTTGCTTCGGTCTCTTTAATATTCTGTGGGAAATGTTAGGTTAACATCAAGAAAGGACTGTCAAAACTACTTGTCGCATACTTCTGATCGAAAATCCCAAGATTTCTACAGCAACGGGATTATGTCACTACCTGCAAAATTTCAACAAGTTATCAAAAAAAATGACACATATATTATATTATATAATTAATTGTAATTAACTTGAAAAAAAAATGTGTTGAATTTGTATATAAAATAAGAAAAAACTTTTTCTCCGACCTAATTATATCTACTCGTGGTTTTTATTTGACATTATAAAAAATACTGATAGTTTTTATTTTGAAGTGAAGACTTTTTTAAATTTTTGTGATTTGAAACTTGATGAAACGACAAAGCGACACCAAGAAGAGACAAACATATATATACATCATAGACTTAGCGTTAGACGGGCGTTCTATACATCTATAGCATTTAGCCTGCAAGAGAATGAGATAGCATACAGCATACAATGTTTCCTATTATCTTGGTCTCTTTCTAAAGATTTCACTTCTACCGTATGAGAACTGCACACATGTTTGTTTTTTTCAGTGGTTCAAAAAATTTTTTTCTGGCAAGAACCTGTAAGATACCTAGAGAATGATATTTTTACTAAAAGATACTATAAAGTGAAGTACGTTATATTAATTACAAATAAATACAATTACGTATAAAATTTATTAAACACTTCTGGATTTTGCTAAGTAAAACAGTTTCTGAGTCAGTCGCGTATCCGCATAGCAATATCGTAGCTTTTTCAACATTTGTGAAATTTTAATCTATTGTAGGACATACGCTGCACAGCTTAGTCTGCTTGCTAGTTTAGATTTATGGGGGACCCAAACATAAATACTTCTTAAATACTACTTAATATTATTCATGGAATCAGGTGTTATACTTACGTAATTTCTATTACCGAGGAAAAAAGATATAATAAAATACTGTTTCTAAATCGACACTTTGTGCTCACGAAGGCTAACGAATAGCAAAAACAGAATATACATCTCTATGTCGTAAGTCATAAAGTCTTGAGTTGAACTTGAGTATTATATATTAGTATATCCCCCAAATCTAATTAAAAGGCTTTATGATATCTAAGGACAATCACACACATTTACTGTACCAACATTATAGTAATTTCTGTGGAATACTGTTCAGAAAAGTACCAGATAATACTACGTTAGCAAATCACAAGCAAAATAAAATATTTATCGGGAGTCGAACCTGTAAATTCTCGCATCACTGACATAGTTAAAAGCATTTCTTATTTTTGTTTTTTTTTTTTAACTTTTTAAGTAATGCCGGGCACAGACTATTACGCGGGTTTGTTGAGTTGCACTCAAAATGGTTAAATAAAACCCATAACCTGTAAAAGAAATTAGCGTTTTGGCTTAAAATACATCTTGGCAGATTAATAATTATAAACTAAATTTTCTTTTACAGTTTCTTCATTTTGGGCTCATTATATCGTACTTAATCAATATTTAAGGTAAAGCTTAAATTTGATACGATAGTACGAGTGATTCTCGAGTTTAGCCGTCGTAGGCACAATTGAAATTGTTAATCGCAACTTTTAAAGACTGATTTACAATATACTCGATTGTTTACGAAAACTACATAAATATACTTACATGTCTGAAAAGTTAAAAGTATTTAATAAGAAAATAGAATAATAGATCATTATGTTTAGATAAATCCAACTTCCAACCAAGAAGTTAATCGCCGAAATCCATTCGGCTGGGCTTCGGTAAATTATGACAAATCTTCTTGTGCCCGGTATACCTTAGAACCTCAAAAGGTCCTCAACTGGTAACGCCATATTGGCAAGCGTAGAGTTAAGCGTAGAGGCAGGTGATTCACAACTGTGCTTTGTGGACCAAGCTTATGGCCCATGTTCAACAGTGGACTTCTGATGGGCCGAAATAATGGTGATATTTCGGTGGTAGCGTGTTACTTAAGAGAATTACTTCCCAGTAATCAATCAGCACATTCTTGGCAAAGAATGTGTGCAAAGGAGTGGACTTAAAGAAGCTGTTATGATGTGGTCACATTAGATCATAAGCTTTACGTAGGTAAATGAGATATTAACAACACGATTTATAACATGAGCTCACGCACAACGGTTGTTATTGCATATTTCATAAGGATATATGACATAAAAATATTACAACCCAACCCCTATAAATAACCGTAAGGTACATTCTATACGTGATCTAGTTGATATTTCAGGTGTAAAAGCGTTTGCACGTACTTTTAAGATTTACTAAAATAAATGAGAGCATAGCTCTAAAGAAAAACTTAGTATATATATATATATATATATGTTTATCAAACGTTTTGGTCCATGTATATCCATATTATATTCTTTAATTTTAGCCAACTTAATGTGTATGGTTTATATTTTATCTGAAAACTGCGTGAATATCTAAAATTTAACAGGTCCCAAATTCGATTAAAATATACAGAACTAAACCATTTCCGGAGTCACTACTAATCCTTAGTTTAAATGTCGGACCTTAGATTAAATGTCGGGGTTTCGAAGCATCGTGTTTATATAAATATACATATTAACTAGTTAGCGCAAAAAAACGCTGAAAGGTATCGTGGTGAACTGTTACTAGCTCAATTACCCTACTAAATGGGTTAGAAGGTGCAAGCACCGGGTTTTATAGCTAAGATTAATCTTGCAGACTTACCTCCTATTTATTACAATGATTCTATTAGTCCGTTTAGTAAATCTGTAAAAAAACTTGGCCTACACATTGACAGCACGCTGAATTGGAGAACTCAGGTTTCAGAAGTGAGTCGTAAAGTCATCGCCACGTATGTTCCCTGCATCGTTTAAAACATTTTCTACCCACAAAGTCTAATATCATGCTTGTCCAATTGCTCAAATTACCTATCCATAATTAATTATGCAGATATTTGTTACCCAGATCTGATCTTCAGAACATACTGGAATGCCTTCTCAATAACTGTATAAGTTCGGACTTCGTAAATATGACCATAGATCTAAGCTTCATTGGATTACAATCTGGGAGAGGCGTAATTGCAGAATGTTTTTTTTTTCTTCATATTAAATGACCCATTTTCGCCTTCTTATCTAAAGAGTAAATTTCACTATCTCTCCCAATGTTATGATGGGATACTACGTTCTTCTGCGGGACTTCTTCTTCTACTTAGGGACCTTCAAGAAAAGAGCCTACTCCTTTTTAAAGAATCTTAAATTCCCCAATTCACCTGGTGTTGCAGCTGTTCATGGGCGGCGGTAATCATTTACCATCAGGTGAGCCGCATGCTCGTTTGCCCCTTTTCCTATAAAAAAAAATGTATTCCTGTTCACATCACCGAGTTCTACGGTAACTCTCTTACAGTTCAGGCTACACGCTTTTGGAACTCCTTGCCCGGTGCATCAGAAAAGTTCCCAATAAATTTGCTTTTAAAAATTTGGTGCGTAATCATCTATTAAGGCTTTAAGAAGCCTGAATGACCTTGAGGAAACGGCGATCGCAGAGATTTTAGCCGACGTCAACAACGTCTAGCGACTACTTTTTTTATTACTTAGAAAAGTGCAAAGATAAATAGATTGTAGAGGTGACAAGTATAAAAGTGATATACTGCCTAATATGCTTGTGAATCACTGAGAACTATGTCGCGGTTAAGCATCTTCAACTACATTAGTAGTGTAGTTGTACCACTTCTAGACCACCTGAGTCAGACGTGGTTCAACGACGTTCGTCGACGCCCGATCCTAAAAAAAAAAAAAAAAAAAGTTTTGGCATGCTCTGATCACGAATCCGCGGTCCATTTTTGTGTAGAATGCACGGTTCCGGAGATGTGTAGATCAATTAGCTAATATCTAATTCATATCCGGTAAGGGCCTCCACCGTCATTAGCGTCCCATTGTTCCTATTTCTATTGTTCTATTGTTCCTTAATCACCTTCATTGCAGCGTGTGCGTCGACTATATCAGTGCTATTGTATTATAATTCTTTGTTTATACAACGCTAATCTCAATCATCAATAAAACACATTACATAATTTTGTTACAATTTTTATTTATAAAATACAAAATCTTATTAATTATTATCTATAAAATAGTAGCGAAACATCTCATCCACTAAAATATCGTTGTACAATGTGTTCCTTGTAAATATACTCGTAAAACTATGTATTGAACATCCTTGAAACTTATATAGCAAATACATTAAGCAATATTCGCCACAAACTGAAGTCCACTCATTCTGAATCCTATCAACATTCCAGTTCCATCTTTTACAATTCCTTTTTAAAAACTCTAGATGATATCGTACAGGTGATCGTCCATATGAATCAAAATATTGACCGACGTCATTCGTATCGATATATAAAGCTACCCAATGTGACCCTGGTTTATCATCTGTATCCAAATTACATATTATATACGTTGGTACGTGGGTATACATAGACAGTCTATTAGCTGCATAAACATTATTTTCTAGACTGGGGTGAATCTTTTTCAGATGTTGTTGTACATCTAGTGTATCCATGATATTACTGCTATTAGTAGATTATTACAGTACCTAGCTACTCAATGAATAACATAGGAATGGTCAATTATAGTGATTTCTACATATTAAATTGCATTTTTGTGATATACAAATCGTACTTGAGTCATTGATCACCAAACAAAACACAATACGAAGAAATGTTGAGATAGGCAACGGAAATGTGAGATAAACTGATATGTTTCTAAATATTAAATTGCATTTTTGTGTTATACAAATCGTACTTGAGTCATTGATCACCAAACAAAACACAATACGAAGAAATGTTGAGATAGGCAACGGAAATGTGAGATAAACTGGTTGACGCATAAAGTAATTATCAACTCATTACGGAAATACTTTAGATTAGAATTTTTACGTACTGGTGGTATATAAGACCAACAAACGCAGTCATCGAGTTAGTGTACGATCGTTTGGCTACAGTGGATGTATCAATAGTACATTTGTGTTACTTCAATACACCAAAGGCTATGGATGTAAGTGATTATTCTATTGACTAAATTACTTTTTTTCTGTTATTTTCATGTGTGTGTATTATTTTATTTAAATATTGTGTATGTATATGATTAAGCCGTGGTAACTCAGATGGTTAGCGCTAGCTGTAAATTTCACAGTACGCGACCCGGGTTCGATCCCCGCCAGCACCAATTAAATTGTTAATAGCAATTTTAAGTGCTCATTACCACGTGCTTGGTGGTGAAGGAAAACATCGTGAGGAAACCTGCATGTCTGAGAAAATTTCGAAGGCATGTGAAGTTCGCCAACACACATTGAGGGAGCGCGGCGGACATTTCCTTGCTCTAAAACCCTCTCAGAAATGAGAGGAGGCCTATGTTCAGCAGTGGACTTTAATAGGCTGTAACTTTAACTTTTTTAACTTTTATGATTAAGTGTTAACAAATTGATATTAACATGATAACTGTGTTGTTGCAGAAATCATTGAGCTTCGATGAAGATACCTATAAACAGTATTACTACTCGCCACTCTCCCCTCAAGAAGAGAGTGATAACCTCGTCATTAATAATAACACATGCGATGGTGGAAAAAGAAAATCGCAATCGATTGATCATTTTTTTGAAGCTGAATCAAAAATAAAAAAGAGGAAGCTGTTATCATCAACCGTAGCACGAGCCGCTAGAGATGGTGTATCATACATTTCTACTAATTCTGACGACGGAGACCAAGCGACGCATCTCATCAAAATTGAAATGTACGATATGAAGAAGCTATCCAAGATTCCAACTACTGATCATTGGAAACATGCTTCCACGAGAATTAAATATTACGTAAAGACTAATAAGGATAGCATCTACGACAATACAAACGCCCTCGTATACAATATAACAAAGACAATAGCAGAAAGTGAAAAAGTTAAAAAATACTTTTTTAACAATGACAGTCATTAGCTGATCATTAGTGAATGTGATTCTGTTTACTTCAATTACAGGAAGACAAGAGCGGAAGGAAGAGATGAGTGTGGCATACGTGTACAAAACACATCATTGAATAACAAAACTACAACACTGAGTGGAGAAGAAAACGAGAAGAGTATGCAGTACTCAAGAGCTGAATATCCATTCTTCAGTTCAAAATCTAGCCGTTTGCTTAGTTTCGAAAACTGGCCTCTAGTTATGCGACAGAAACCTGAAGATCTTGCCGAAGCTGGTTTCTTTTATACTGGCCATGCAGACGGGACCAAGTGTTTCCATTGTGGTGGTGGTTTAAAAGATTGGGAAGATGATGATGATCCTTGGCAGCAGCATGTTCAGTGGTTTAGTCAGTGTGCTTATGTAAAATTTCAACTCGAACAGTGTTTTGTATTAGATTAAATAGAAGATTTATAAAGAAATAAAAAAAATATATTGCATACAATTTGTTTTATTTAATTTTATAACGTTTCACATAGTTACATACACACAAAATGCATTACACATAACACATAAAATCTAACACACAACACATATTATAACCTTAACTACTATAGTCTACAGTAACATTTCTGTTTTTATCTATCTCAATAATATTATCAAACTCAGCATAAACTATACAGTTAATTGTTTGTATTAATGAGGATTCAAATCGTACTTCTATTCTTACACTACCATGCTTTATGAGATTCCAATGAGTTGATGAGTTAGCTGATAAATCAGGAGTTAAGTCAAATGCTAATAGACAGTAACCTTTGCCATACTGTTCACAAGAGATTCCATTTCCTTCATTAAGAAAGTGAATACCAGTTCCCGAGAATAGAGTATGATATGCTGATGTAAATATGCTATTATTAAAAGATGGTTGCAAAGCTTTTGAAGGTATTTGTTGACCATCAATATATAAGCTGAAAGAATTAATACCATAGTTTTCAAAGTTAAATGGATTTTTAGTAAGGGAACCATTAAATGCAGAATTGTTCACAAATCCAATTATACATCTTTTCGGTACCTGTCCTAAAAATATATTATCAAGAGTTTTTCCTTGAACACCTGAAGGAATTGTTAAAACTTTTACTTCAGCTCGAGTAATAGGATATTTAGCAGTGGTAGAAGCTAAAACTTTTTGATGTGCGAGTAATACACTTGGATTAATTCGTGCTCGTCGCACAATAAGAGTTGCGTCCGTAATGCAAACTTTAAACTTTACATCGTTCGACCCAACAATTAAATTAAAACTCTCTCTTGATCGAACCAATTTAACACTCATTTCAACACCATTAATTAAAAATTTATCTTGGTTAAAAATGTCACCGTGAAGATGACCAATCATTTCTATTTCCTTACTTTCACTAATCAATTCCTGTCTTTTAACAAATCCTATGTTTTTACCATCTGTAGAATCCATTTTTCCTGCTGTATCCTCATACCAAAGACTACAAGTAAGATGAGATTGTTTAGCAGCAGGGGCATAGTTTAAAAGGGTTTCCATGTATGCTCGATATGCATAGGTATTATTAGGTGGTGATACAAGTTTTTGGTTTAAATAAACATCAAGTTGACTAAAAAGTGAATGCAGCCAATTATTTACAGGTGCTACTATTGTAGTAGATACCAAGTTAGTTGAATCTTGATTTAATACTTTTGCCTTTATGTGGAGTAATGTATGAGACAAATCTATGTAGTCATCGCCGGTCCCAGGAACTTGAAACTCGATAGGTCCATCATCACCAAGAGATGAAATTGGTTTATAATGAATCCACAATCCATTTTCAATGCTAGTTTGTGTAGACGGTAGTGCAAACAAATCCAATTCTGACTTAACGCACTCGCAAGAATGATTATGAAGGAAAGACATATTTAGTTTGAAAATATATCTTTGATATTTTTTGGTTTTAGACTAAGTTTTTTCGCAGCTTTCACTTTAGCAGTTAATGGTGGAATGAACGATGTCAATCGTTTTCTTTTAGTTTTATACCCAGATCCAGTCATGTTAAATTGATCAATTTTCTCATCAGCCTTTCGTTTTAAATTCGTACTAACTTGCTTTAGACGATCTTTTATTGAGGCTTCCATAGGACGGGCTTGAACCATATCCGATAAAAGTCCTACTCCAGCGCTTAATGCCTCCTTACCAATCACTCGAGCACCACTTGAAAGTAAAGGTAAAACTGATCTGAATAACCCCCCTAAGAAGCTCCCAATACCATGACCGCGTTGATATGGTGAACCCTTATAAATTACTCCAACTCCTGATCCAGCTTGATGTGTATAATAATTTTCATATGGACATTTATGATGATCACGAAGAGAATTCATTATTATAATTTTCGGAAATGTAGTTTAATACACACGGTTCCAAACTGGAATGGTATTTTTTGTCCTGTACTCGATCTTATAACTATTTCCAACGTATCGAACTCTCTTCGCATAACAGGTAAGTAGTGAGGTTGAGAGAAAACGTGCATTTTATTTGCACCATAAATGTATTTTGTAGGATCTAATGAAATGACTCTTAATAAAGGAGTCATAACATCACCCACAATCTGAGGATCGATAATATCGCAATATAGAAATAGTTGAGATGGTAACCCTAAGTGTAAATTAGCAGGACACTTTCCAAAATTTCTCTCTAGGAGATTTTTATTTGGTTCATAACCTAGCTGTAAACTTAATTTGGGTGATAATGTTACGGATGTTATATTTTTATCCAATACCGAAATAGACACAAATTTTGTTATTTCATCATAGCGAAATTTCAAGTTCTCTCCGATACCATTTAACACTCTTAAAATATGCTCAACGTTATCATAGTTGGTAGCTGGAATATGTTTTTTGTAGTACACTGTGGATGGCTTATCTTCATTAGGCATTAACGTAGATTTTGTAATGTATATAACATTTTCATGGTCTTGAACAGTAAACATGGTACATGGATATTGAAACTCGACAACTCCAACCGACCATTCACCTTCTAATTTTATAGCTTTTGGTAATTTCGTTGAAAAATTTGTGGTCTTGTTATCAGGAAAGTATTCCATTGAACTATTGCTGAGCAAAGTTAAATAGAAACTTTCTTTATTCATATTTCTTTTAAACTAGAAGCTAAAATCCAACTGTTAAATTTATCTGGATAACCTTTCCACTTCACTAATACTTCTTTTCTGTTACCTGAATAACGAGTGTCAATTATTTTATCTATTTTATGTTGTGAGGTGGGTTTGTAAGTGATTTTCTGTAATTCTCTTTCATAAAAAGTACCAATTATTGGTTCATTTTGTAAATCTGTTATTGTATAAACAACCCATGGAGATCTATCAATTATTGAAGATATAATAAATATTTCATCACTCCAATTTGATTCATATCCTTTTTGGAATACATGTTTATATTTAGTTATTCGAACATAATCACCCACATTGAAATTTGGTTTAGGATTTTCTAAAGAAAGTTTTTTTGACCGTCTGTCATAAAGATTAGTCCAAACTGTCATAATATTGTTGGAATTTACATCACATGGGCACATCTTAATACTAGAGTGAAAGCTGTGATTATAAGAGTATATTAAATCTTGTAAAACATCTATATATCTATAAGTATTATTATGAGTGAAATAACGCCACATTTTCATTTTTAGTGTTCTTTGAAATCGTTCAACAATACTGGCCTTAATGTCAGGATTGTTAGTGGTATAGTAATTAATCTTTTTGGATTTAAAGTATTTTTGTACATCTTGTGAAACAAATTCGGTACCTTTATCGGATTGTATGTGAGTAGGTGTTAAATTACTTTCAGTAAATATACTTTCAAAACATTCTTTAGTTGTTTCTGAGTTTTTCTTTTTCATTGGTCTTGCAAAAGCATATTTACTAAATACATCAATAATACAAAGTATATACTTGAAACCATCATTATATTGAGAATAAGTTCGCATATCACTTAAATCAGCTTGCCACAGTTCATTAATATTTGATAGAATGTACCTATTACGCGGGAATTTTTTTCGAATGGGTTTATGTAATGTGTATGTTTCTTGTGATTTTAACCATTCCTTTACTTGCTTTTTATTCATTTTACCCTTCATGGCTTTTGATAATTTATCAATACTACCAAAACCAGCGGGATTAGATGGATCATAATAAATCCTGTTAATTTCTTCTAGTACGGAGTCCATTTTTCCCACTCAAGTCCTTTACGTATTTTAGTTGTAGACTTTTTATCTCTACTGCACGGTGTAGAAAACTCTTGAACTTCAATCTCAGAGGGTTTGTTCAGATCTTTTGCTTGAAGTTGGTTAATAAACTCACATCTCCTTGGATTTCCAATATAAGTAAGTGGTACTTTAATATCTTTTAATGCTTCAGCAAATCTAACCCACCCTACCGGATCACTTCTTTTTAGGGGTCTTAGTGAATCATTTATTAAATCAACAATATTACTTCCAGGAATTTTTTCACTATCAATTATGACTGTACCTTCGTTATCCCAATGTATTTTACTTTTACTTGTTTCAACTAAATTTAATAATAACTGCCCTTTTTTATGATAAGTTTTTGGTATTAAACTGAGTATTTGAGCTGGTGTGTAAAGTGGATTTTCATCATTTTCTTTACTTTTAATGGATCGATTCTCCTCCAGCAAAGATTCAATATCAACTGCAGTTTTTAGATCTCTATCTTTATTTTTAAAACCAATTTTTGACTCATTTGAATCTTCATTAGATGTATCAGAATAAATTGGTAATTTGAGTGGTTGACGATCCTCTTCGGTAAAATGAAGGTATCTTTGCAGTGTTTGTAAATATAATATCCATTTCTTTCGGTCTTCCGTCTTACTATTCATAATATTTTGCATTTCAATATCTAATCGAGATAAATTACTATTAACCTTATTTTCTTGTTTTAATTTTTCAATCAATCCAGGTTCGATAAGTATCATTTTCTTTGCATTTTCCATGTTAACTGGCTAGTCCACTCACTAATCCACTCAATATTGCACCTAATATTGTTGGTAAGAAAGCCCCTCCTTTTTGTATAATTATATTTTTTCTTAGTTTATGTTTACACTTACGTACTAGTTTACGGAGTATGTTTTTATGTTTATTCAATTTTTGTTTATCCTGATCTTTAAGAGGTACTTTTCCTTGTAAAACGTTATGAATACACTCACAAATACAGTTAATTTCTTCTTCATCACACGTTTTAAGTAATGCTCTTTGATATTTTGGTTTAAGCGTATGCAAAGCGGTTAGCAAATGTTTATACGTTGTGAGTCGACGATGCATCATTTAGCAATGATTTCAATTGTTTGATTCTTGGTGTATTTAAACTCTTTTGTGGGGACGTAGACTGTACAGAAACCATTAAATGGAAAGACATTTGTCTTGATACGACAAAAATCATTGGTATTCTGTTTTAAATCTACTATTAAATATCCATGTGCCTCTAGAGTTGCATCCCTGTAGGCATTTTCAATGAATTTTGGGTTATCTGGTGATACTTGTCTTGCTAAATATCTTATTTGAGTTTTGTCTCGAGGTTTTGTTCCAACTACTGATCATTGGAAACATGCTTCCACGAGAATTAAATATTACGTAAAGACTAATAAGGATAGCATCTACGACAATACAAACGCCCTCGTATACAATATAACAAAGACAATAGCAGAAAGTGAAAAAGTTAAAAAATACTTTTTTAACAATGACAGTCATTAGCTGATCATTAGTGAATGTGATTCTGTTTACTTCAATTACAGGAAAACAAGAGCGGAAGGAAGAGATGAGTGTGGCATACGTGTACAAAACACATCATTGAATAACAAAACTACAACACTGAGTGGAGAAGAAAACGAGAAGAGTATGCAGTACTCAAGAGCTGAATATCCATTCTTCAGTTCAAAATCTAGCCGTTTGCTTAGTTTCGAAAACTGGCCTCTAGTTATGCGACAGAAACCTGAAGATCTTGCCGAAGCTGGTTTCTTTTATACTGGCCATGCAGACGGGACCAAGTGTTTCCATTGTGGTGGTGGTTTAAAAGATTGGGAAGATGATGATGATCCTTGGCAGCAGCATGTTCAGTGGTTTAGTCAGTGTGCTTATGTAAAATTTCAACTCGAACAGTGTTTTGTATTAGATTAAATAGAAGATTTATAAAGAAATAAAAAAAATATATTGCATACAATTTGTTTTATTTAATTTTATAACGTTTCACATAGTTACATACACACAAAATGCATTACACATAACACATAAAATCTAACACACAACACATATTATAACCTTAACTACTATAGTCTACAGTAACATTTCTGTTTTTATCTATCTCAATAATATTATCAAACTCAGCATAAACTATACAGTTAATTGTTTGTATTAATGAGGATTCAAATCGTACTTCTATTCTTACACTACCATGCTTTATGAGATTCCAATGAGTTGATGAGTTAGCTGATAAATCAGGAGTTAAGTCAAATGCTAATAGACAGTAACCTTTGCCATACTGTTCACAAGAGATTCCATTTCCTTCATTAAGAAAGTGAATACCAGTTCCCGAGAATAGAGTATGATATGCTGATGTAAATATGCTATTATTAAAAGATGGTTGCAAAGCTTTTGAAGGTATTTGTTGACCATCAATATATAAGCTGAAAGAATTAATACCATAGTTTTCAAAGTTAAATGGATTTTTAGTAAGGGAACCATTAAATGCAGAATTGTTCACAAATCCAATTATACATCTTTTCGGTACCTGTCCTAAAAATATATTATCAAGAGTTTTTCCTTGAACACCTGAAGGAATTGTTAAAACTTTTACTTCAGCTCGAGTAATAGGATATTTAGCAGTGGTAGAAGCTAAAACTTTTTGATGTGCGAGTAATACACTTGGATTAATTCGTGCTCGTCGCACAATAAGAGTTGCGTCCGTAATGCAAACTTTAAACTTTACATCGTTCGACCCAACAATTAAATTAAAACTCTCTCTTGATCGAACCAATTTAACACTCATTTCAACACCATTAATTAAAAATTTATCTTGGTTAAAAATGTCACCGTGAAGATGACCAATCATTTCTATTTCCTTACTTTCACTAATCAATTCCTGTCTTTTAACAAATCCTATGTTTTTACCATCTGTAGAATCCATTTTTCCTGCTGTATCCTCATACCAAAGACTACAAGTAAGATGAGATTGTTTAGCAGCAGGGGCATAGTTTAAAAGGGTTTCCATGTATGCTCGATATGCATAGGTATTATTAGGTGGTGATACAAGTTTTTGGTTTAAATAAACATCAAGTTGACTAAAAAGTGAATGCAGCCAATTATTTACAGGTGCTACTATTGTAGTAGATACCAAGTTAGTTGAATCTTGATTTAATACTTTTGCCTTTATGTGGAGTAATGTATGAGACAAATCTATGTAGTCATCGCCGGTCCCAGGAACTTGAAACTCGATAGGTCCATCATCACCAAGAGATGAAATTGGTTTATAATGAATCCACAATCCATTTTCAATGCTAGTTTGTGTAGACGGTAGTGCAAACAAATCCAATTCTGACTTAACGCACTCGCAAGAATGATTATGAAGGAAAGACATATTTAGTTTGAAAATATATCTTTGATATTTTTTGGTTTTAGACTAAGTTTTTTCGCAGCTTTCACTTTAGCAGTTAATGGTGGAATGAACGATGTCAATCGTTTTCTTTTAGTTTTATACCCAGATCCAGTCATGTTAAATTGATCAATTTTCTCATCAGCCTTTCGTTTTAAATTCGTACTAACTTGCTTTAGACGATCTTTTATTGAGGCTTCCATAGGACGGGCTTGAACCATATCCGATAAAAGTCCT